CAGCTGGGAGGCATGTGACTCCACCCAGCTCGCTTCACTCCTCACCTCTGGCTCCACCCAGCAGGGAGGGAGGGCTCATCTCCTGGGGCACAGGCCTCCCCCAGGAGCTGGGCCCCAAGCTCTGGCAGGTGCACCCTGGTTCTCAAATGCCTGAAGATCATCATATGCAGCTTCGAGGGTCAGGAAATTTGGCCACCCCGATATACAGAGGCATGTGACTCCACCCAGCTCGCTTCACTCCTCACCTCTGGCTCCACCCAGCAGGGAGGGAGGGCTCATCTCCTGGGGCACAGGCCTCCCCCAGGAGCTGGGCCCCAAGCTCTGGCAGGTGCACCCTGGTTCTCAAATGCCTGAAGATCATCATATGCAGCTTCGAGGGTCAGGAAATTTGGCCACCCCGATATACAGCCCATTGGCTACAGATTTTACAATAGCACAAATTAATACTGCTGATCATCTCAAGTAACATTCTGAAACCAGGGTGATGTGCTGATCAATTTCCTATGAATGTTTTCTGCATTTTACACCATAAAAAATAGTTGAAATGTTCTCAAGAAGCAACGCCAGCTCCTTTTCTGCTTAACAGGACTGCTTCCACGTACACAGTCAGTCATTCTCCCTAATCGTCTCAGCACGGAAGTGGTGTACAGAAGTTTCAGTATGAGTTAGCCTCTGCTGCATTTCATCCCACTGTTAATTACAACTGTGTTACTCTCAGTAACTGAGGGCCCAGGGTGTATCCAAACCTTATCAGCCACTCTTAGGGAGACTCCAGGCCTACTGGCTTTCAAAGTATTGAAGATAATATGGAGTAGCCCTCAGTAAGATGGTAGGACACTAGCAGGTAAAATAAGTTTCCTCCAAATTCAATAAAAACTGCATCCTGCACAGAACAGCCACTTGCTTTTTAAAAAAGCTTCTTACATTCTGGAGATTTTAAAATGGGTGAAGCAGAGACATTGTAGTACCCAATGCCTGTTGTATAGCTTTCCAAACACATTACACCAGTTGTACTTCTCTAGTCCGGCACCCTTGGGACCTGACCAGTTCCAAACTGGATAACTTTCCAGACTGTGGGAGGTCAATATTGTCTAGCAGCATTACCAACACTTCCACTGCTTATTAGGCTGTTAGAGAACATTTACGGGTAAACTACAGCTAAATAACAGCACAGACACAGAGCCAGGATGGATGGCTGTAAACAAACTTTATGGGACTGCAGGAAACTTGGCCACATGCATGAAAAGTGGACATCTGGGTAACTAAAATCATGCTGGACCATGGAGGTTGCTGGAATGGAGAGTGCCAAATTAGAGAAGTTCAACCTATACCTGTATATATGGAGCCCAATTTAGGGCTAGATCCTAACTCCTGTCAACAATGAGAAGCACTTCTCTTTGTAAGCTGTCTCACTGTAATCAACAGGACTGTTTGCAAATGAC